TAGTGAATGATGTATTTATTTTTATTATTTAAATTAGGAACTAATTTAGTTTTTTTAGTATTACCCACACATATGTTTTCAGGACACAACGGAAAGTCAGAATGCAAATTATGAAGTTCATCAGGATATTCCAAATCAACTTCTAAAACATAACCGAAATCAGAGTTATCCGATACATTGTAATCTGTATTAGAATCAATCCATTCGAAACCACCAACAGGAAGAGATTGAGACATTGCCCAACCGTATAAATTATTTGCATCAAAATAGGTTAGGTATGAATTAGGTATTTCACTATTATAATCTTCCATGAATTTATTATTTGCTCTAGCAAAACGATTGGTACACTGAGATACACCCCCTCTAATACCAACTTTAAAAAAAGCAATTTCGTCATAGTCCGTTAACAATTCTAATTCTATTTTGGTAAATTTTAACATTGCATCCCAACTTAAACCTGGGGCAGTATAGTAATGAGCAGGATCTAAATCCATAAGTTTTAATACAAAGCTTTCTAAAGTTTTCAAATACATCAGTCAAAAGTAAAACATCAGTTTTTAAATATAAATTGGAATAATCAGACATACTACTACACTTAAAATGTTACCAAATATCTTTTGCATGATTATAATCATCATTTGAAATATTTGAATCTGTGAGTGAACTTTAAAATTGGTGTTGATCAGGAAGTGATGGATGTTTCAAGCAATCACTATTACACATAAATTCATAAGGATAAATACCTTTCCGTCTTAAACGTGAAAAGTCTTCATTATTAGGATAGTTCCTTTTTAGTTCTGTAAACTGATCATCATTAAGATTTTTAGCTAGTTGATCTAAACTAGACGATAAAAATTTCAATGAACCTACGAATCTTAAACTTACCGGTTGATTATTTATTGTTAACTGTTTTGAAAATGATATGTATCGTTCTTTATTTTGTGGAATAACTTCAACTTTGTCATCATCGAAGTTTAATGCATGGACAATGAAATGAGCATCGTAGTGACTGAGGTTATGTAAGAATATTGGGATATGACGAGGGGTTCTGTACTTAGAACTACACACATGCATTGATGTGCAACACCCCTAAAACTGCCAGTGTGCCAATCAAAATCGTAAAAAAGATCTTCATTTACCTCAGTTTCACAAATATAACATATGTTTGAATTTGAAATTTTAATTTTATCTTCATCTGATAATGGAACGGGGCATTCTTGGAAACTATTTTTTTTTAACTATTATTTTCACATCTTCACAAAGGCGATTCATAAACACTTGTGCACAGTTTGACCCACTATACGTCTCATATTTTGATAATCTGTTATCATATGAACATTTAATATAATATCCAAAACTATACACTTCATGTTTTTGAATATTAATCGTACTTGGCTGAGATGGATCGTTACTACATGATTCTATTGGATTCAAAAATGCCTCAAAGTCTGCATAAATCACAAAGGGCATTTCCAACTTTTTCACGAATTTGTCAAATTTTATTTTATTATTTGAGGTCGGTTTACCAAACCAATCCTTTTTGGAATACTCACCGTTTGGTAATTCCGTACAAATGTGAGCGCAATCATATTGTCGATAGCTATTAAGTCTTTCCTCTGATGGGAAATGAAGTAAACATGAATCACATATATAAACTCTCAATGTTGTCTTGATATTTGTGAACTAACTAATCGCGATAAGTTTTTAATATAACAGTAATGATTTTTAATACCATTCGATATATATAGTAGGTTAATATGATTAGGTGTACGACATTTTGTTCAATATAAAGGACCTAATAATTCTGTTGGAACACTTTTTTTCTTTATTAGGTAAGCCAAAAACATTAATACTAATATTGTTTAATTTCTCAACTTTTGATATATCTGCAATTTTAACCGGAAAAGAAATACCAGTAAATTTTAGTTTATTTCCATGAATTGCGTAAGATGCTACCCGATCTACACTTTTACATACAAGATATAAACCAGAGAGTAATGCTCATTTGCTGGGTCAAATGATGTAAAGTTTAAAGTTTGCATTACGAACGCAACTCTTATTGTTCGAAGAGCACGAATTAATCCAAGTGTATTACTCGCTCATCAGAAAGTTTTAGCTTCTACCACTGCTAAATATCCTATTACTCGTGCTAAAGTTAAAGTTTTAACAATTCCATCGGGTGTTCAAGGAAAAACTCTTAGGACAGGTACCCAAAAGATGTATTATAGGTTTTGTGAATAATTCTGCATTTAATGGTTCACTAACTAAAAATCCATTTAACTTTGAAAATTATGGTATTAACTCTTTCAGCTTATATATTGATGGTCAACAAATACCATCCAAAGCTTTGCAACCATCTTTTAATAATAATATATTTACATCAGCATATCATACTCTATTCACTTTCTTAATGAAGGAAATGCAATCTCACGTGAACAGTAGATATGCCAAAGGTTACTGTCTTTTAGCATTTGATTTAACTCCTGATTTATCAGCTAACTCATCAGCCCATTGGAATCTCATAAAGCATGGTAGTGTAAGATTAGAAGTACGATTTGAATACTCACTAATACAAACAATTAACTGTATTGTTTATGCTGAGTTTGATAATATTATTGAAATAGATAAAAATAGAAATGTTACTGTAGACTATAGTAGTTAGGATTATAATGTGTATTGTGTTTTAGATATATGTGTTACTCTTAATGCATTTTGTGTGTGTAAACATTATAAAATTTAATTAAACAAAATGTATGCAATGTATTATTTTTTATTTATTTTTAAACCTTCCCTATTTAACCTTATACAATATACTACTTATAATTAAAGTAGAGAAGAGAGTATCCGAGCATCATCATACGATAAATCGAACAGTTCACGCTTCTCCATTTCATCACAAACTTTTATATCATTAGGTAACATATACTATTAGTTTGATTAGTTTATAAACATCTTTAGAATCCTTTATTTGTATTAATATGACTAGTCCACTAATGACTAATGAGTGTCATTGTTAAAAAAGTATTTTTTTACTTTTTCACTGTCTACTATTGTCTTTGTAATATTGTATACGAGACCGTTTGTGTTGTCGTAGATGCTATCCTTATAATCCTTTACGTAATATTTAATCCTCGTGGTAGCGTGCTTCCAGTGATCACTAGTTGGAATCTTGGATAGTTTCTTCATATCATACATTTCAATTTTTATGAGATGCGTCGCTTGGTCTCCGTCGTCAGAATTTGTAGAGATGTATGATACGCCATCTTTAACAGCTCGTGCCACAGTCGACGATAGCAGCTTCCGCCTTTTTATTTTTGGTGCCACTTCAAAAATGTATCAATCGGTTGCGATTTCCTTTTTCCACCATCGCCTGTGTTATTAACAACGATGTCATCACTCTCTTCTTCGTGTTGGGGAGAGAGAGGCGAGTAGTAAAACTGTTTATAGGTATTTACATTATCGTCTGCGAAGCTGAATGATCTCTGCAACAACAGAGTTATCATGTTAATATCAATTTGATTAATCTGACACACACACACACACATACACACGTACAACAACAGAAATACAAATAAGTTTGTCAATAGAATAAACACTTACCTCCATGATGCGTTGAAGTAGGTAACACAAACGTAGTATTGGTAGACGTATACAATTCACTGTGGTCAAACGACCATACACTGATTGCAATTGATTGCAATTGTTCCATCATATATAGTCCATTCTTATCTAAAACATGACACACACACATACACATCCCTAAGTACAACGAAACTCTATGAATCAACAAACTTATCTCACATCACAACAGACATGAACCTGTTTTGTGACTTACACAAAGAATGCGATTTTTTATTTACAAATCACTATCATTGAACATTCCTATGACAACCATTTTATAGATTGGTACTGTAATAATCTGCTAATAACAGTAGTATCATGGATACACTAGAATTACAAAAATATGAAAAAGATTCATTTCAGTCTAGAAAATAATGTTTATGCTGCTAATACACTACCTATGTACACACATGTACCAACGTATATAATATGCAATTTGGATGCGGATGATAAACCAGGGTCACACTGGGTAGCCATACATATCGATACAAATGGTATCGGCCAATATTTTGATTCATATGGACGAACACCTGAGCGATATCATCTTCAGTTTTTGAAAAGGAATTGTAAGAGGTGGGACTGGAATGTTGATAGGATTCAGAATGATTGAACTTCGGTTTGTGGCGAATATTGCTTAATGTATTTGCTATTTAAGTTTCAGGGATGTTCAATGCATAGTTTTACGAACATATTTACAGGAAACACGCTGTACAATGATAATTTAGTGGATGAGATGTTCCACTCATATTTTGTAAAAAAAGTAATAAAATTTCGAAATAAAAATGAATGACTGTGTTTTATTGATGATATAGAAAATCAGACAAAATGAAGTTAACAATGAGTATTTAGATAAGAACACCAAAGCAACCGTAATGAGAGAATTCGAAGCACAATTGATAATGATAACGATAGGCGAACAATGGGACTTTAAGTAATGTAACGATAAGCAAACAAAGGAACGTTAATGAGGGTTCAGAAGCTGATTCCGATTTGCATAACTCCAGAACCACGCATCCTACGCAAAAATGGACTGCAGAAACGTGATCAGAGCATGCCAAAACCTATGATAGCATACCAAACTTTTTTTTTTTTTTTTTTTTTTTTTAGGTTTTGTGCCACTCAGATTTTAGATTCCGGGTGATTAGCTTGTTCTGGCGCGTGCGCCAGAACCAGCTAATCACCACTACTCTAGTGCGCCTTACCATATGTTTTAGGTTAGGTTAGTCAGTAAGAGTCTGACACTCTCTCGCCTTACCCTGGGCGGAAGAAGTCATTTAATAATTTTCCCCTGACAAAAAAGTACTTGACCCGCTATCCCGGCTATGATACGATGGATAGAATTTGTGGTTTGAATTCTTTGCACGTTTTATCATTTACAGTTATCTAAATGTTGGATTGTCAAGGAGATACAGGAGACGACAAAGGATTTAGTCTGCACGTACAATGATATAATACACGAGACCGACTGGAAGTACCATCTTGGACCAACGAAGACAGTAAAAGATGGTGGCTCTTTTACACTTGACGCTAGCGATCATATCAAGATCAAATGTACGGGAAAACGCGGCAATAGGTAAGCAGGGAAATCTTTATTATTTAGTTAATTTATTGAAACAAATTCAAACATTAATATCATCATCAGAACTGTTACTATCCTACTAACTTTATCATCATCATCATCAGCATATACATGGAGAAGGTTAGAGCATTAATCACCACGCTTGCTCAATGCGGGTTGGCGATTTCAAACTTATAATTAGAAATTATAAGTCCAGGTTTCCTCACGATGTTTACCTTCACCGTATGTCAGTGGTGTCTAAATAATCATAGAAAGTACATATAACTCGGAAAAAGTCACATTGGTACTTGCCAGGTTTTGAACTCACACCCTCATGCATGAGAAGCGGGCGCCTTAACCTCCGGGCCACCACAACTAATTTTATAAATGTGACAATTTGTCAGAATATATGGATGCCTCTTTCTTATTCTATCACGCAAAAACTGCTGAAGCGATTTGGTTGGAATTTGGTACGTAGATAGGTACCCTGGCGGTACTACGCGGGCGAAGTCGCGTGCGGAAGCTAGTAATTATAAGTTTAAAATCGCCAATCCGATTAACATTGAGTAAGCTCGGCGTTCTTGAACGAACCTTCTCCGTGTGAGAAGAGGCCTTTGCTCAGCAGTGAGCAGGCTGATGATCATTCGGTGGTGGTAACTTCAATTTTGTTTGTTACAGTAAATCGGATACGACGTGGGTCGGCTACAACATAGGCTTCCGTGAGTCGGTGGAAAGGCTACCGACCCCCCCAGGAAGGGAGGACACCTACAATGTGTTGATATTTGGCTTCGATTCCACCTCCAAGTTCGGTATAATACGCAACCTTCCCAAGAGCTTCGACTTCATCAAGAATCACTTGAAGGCAACCGTTTTAAATGCGTAAATATTATTCAACTCCACGTCAAGTTTTTTGTTTAACGGTTTATTCACTTAGCTATTTGACGAGCGAAGCTTGTCTACTTTCAAGCCACGCTAGGGCTCATATTCATATCGAAGTGAGTAAGCTGTTAAACATAATTTGAAGATTTATACGCCTGGGAAATGGGAGGAGAATTGGGCTTCCAAAACACTACAAGCTTTGTTTCACGCCGGTTTTCTGTAAGGTCGTGGTATCACTTCGGTCGAGCCGACATAGCATAATCCCTTATCCTCAAAACGTCGGCAGCGCACTCGTAGCTTCGCTGATTGCTTGCCATTGGGTAATCAGAGTGCTTGTTTGCCGACCTGTCATATAGAAAAAACTACATAGTTCGTGAGATGTCGACTTGAGTGCTAAAATTTAATGATTTTTAATAACTTGCAGGTACAATATAGTTGGTGATGGAACCCCAGCTGCTCTGTTCCCAATTCTCACTGGGCAAACGGAGCTTGAACTGCCCGACGTAAGAAGGGCTAGCTCCAACGGAACCCTCGATTCATTCCCTTTCTTGTTCCAAAAGCTTAAAAGAGACGGGTAAGTAAAAAATTTTTCAACACACTTCCTCCTAAAGTGGCTCTAATCCTACGGCAATTAGGCACGTAATGACACCTATAATCAAACTGTGACTTTTTCATTACTACTATTCACGAGTGAGCAATATAGATAAGTATACATTTTTTTAATTTATTACTTATGTTTACACTTCAGCTAAAATGCTATCCGCGAAAAGCCCAAAAAACGAAACGTCACTTTATAGTCTATGGCCGATGCGCGCTTACAGTACGGCCGCCGTATCTTGGCGAGTCTGAAGTTAGCCTTTTGTCTGCGCAATGGATCTTTTAGAAACAAAATTGTTTACTGCGCAGCTAATCGGCTAACTTCAGACTCGCCAAGATACGGCGGCCGTACTGTAGGTATATTGATTAATTTTTCCCGCCATTACGAATCATTTTTCACGACTCGTCTCGTTTTCTCTTTTGAACTTTTTTATTCAAGTAAATATTACATTATTCAGAATAAGGTTCAAAAACGTCGTTACGTTAATCACCAACTTAACACAGTTTTAGGTACCATAAAAAACATACAATAAAATTGCATCATGGAGTTACAAATCAATAAATTAATAAAAACTAAGAAAAGAAAAAACTAAACATAAAAAGACGACCAGAACCAGACCCGACCGTACGGAGCGTAGCGTTCCGCGCGCTCTTAAAAGAGCCAATAGACCACCACAGACGGGGCCCTAAAGGGCTGATGTTCAGCCGGGGTTACGGGGTAAGCGCAATGAGGCACCGCGACCTCGGCCCAGAGCAGGAGAAGGAACATAGGGGTTTTTAGTTAGTAAGAGTCTGACACTCTCTCTCGTCTTACCCTAGGCGGGAGAAGTCATTTGGTGATTTTCCCCTCACAAAAAAAAAAACGGGAACAGTCCTAGACACCCGAATTAGTTATGCAACAAAAAAATAAAATTGATATTTGTATTGCAGGTATCGCACTGCGTATTTCGAGGACATGCCGGGGATAGGCACTTTCCAATACCGGTTCAACGGCTTCAAACATCAGCCGGCTGATCATTACTTGCGCTCGTTCTATCTTGAAATGCAGAAGAGGGGGAAATGGCTGAAACAGCATCCGTACTGTGTCGGCGACACGCCACAGTACAAAGTTATGATGAATATTACTGAGCAGGTATGTATGAAACCAGGGACTTATATTGGCCAGATTTTTTTGTGATATTACGGCAAACGAACTGACGTATTTCCTGATGGTAAGCAATCAGCGCCGCCCATGGAAACCCGCAGCAACGGGGGAGTTACGAGAGTGTTGCCGACAGATTTTGGGATTCCTGTAACCTCAATGACACAGCGAAACAGAACGCTGTGGTTGTTTCCCGCCGGTTTTCTGTGAGGTTCGGTCGAGTCGGCCCATTCGTGCCGTAACTTGGCTTTCCCACACTTATTGTCATTTTAAACACTACGCATTATTTTAGACATTACTTACATTAGATTTAATTAATTCCGCATCTTCGTTATAGTAACTGGAACAATTTATTTTCTCATCTGGAGAGGGCCGCTGATAACTGCGACACAGTTTTTCCTATAACTTTTATAATCGTTTCAACTTCTTTGTATTTGTATGTTTCTCTTGTTGCTTATAAAGTTTTTTTTCTATCCGATGAGCAGTAGGAATACCTGATGGTAAGCAAGACCCCGTGTGCATGTGACACGCATTAGTCTTGGTCTAAACAATACGGTAGTTTCCAACCAGACAAATTAAATACCTTTATCCAAATGTCAAAAACGATACTTTTCTATGAAATTTGTATGAAAAATTGAGTAATGACGTCATAGTTTTTTTTGCGGCAAGTAGATACGCATAGTTAATGAGCCAGTTTTTATTGTAAGCTATAAATAATAAACGGGATTTTTTTTACACAGAAAAAAAACTCTTAATAGTTTCAGTCGCCCAGGGTCGGGTGAGAGGGTGTGTCAGACTCTTAGTGACTAAAAAGGAACCGTTCTTTTTCCTGCTTTAGGCCGTGACCGCAGTGCCTCATTGTGCTTACCCAACGGGGTGTTTCTTAGTCAGTAAGAGTCTTACACTCCCTCTTACACCATCCAGGGGCGAGAGATAGAGATTAATGATTTAGCCCTCCCCTCCACCCCCTCCCAATACAAAAAACAAACAAATTTACTAATTAGCACTTGTTTTTGTTTACAGTTTATGCAATTGGATGGCAAGAGGTTTGGTTTTACGTTTGTTGCTGACATCTCCCACGATTCGAGCTTCATATCGGTAGCTGATGATGACTTTGTTGAATTCCTCCGTCGGCTGGTGAAGAGAGGCGATTTAGAGGATACCTTCGTTATCCTGATGACGGATCATGGACCGAGGTAAGGATTTTTTTATCGTTTAGGTCGGCAAACGAACTAACGGATTACCTGATGGTAAGTAATCAGCGCCGCCCATGGACACCCGCAACACAAAAGAAATAACGAGTGCGTTGCGGACCTTTTAGGGATTAGGGAATTGGAGATTTAGGGATTGAGGAGGGATTGGGGGAGGGGAAGGATTGGGCCTCCGGTAACCTCACCCACACGACGAAACACAACGCTGTAGTTGTTTAACGCCGGTTTTCTGTGAGGCCGTGGTATCACTCCGATCGAGCCGACCCATTCATAAGCTTGGCTCTTCCACACTTAATTGACCTATTCATGATATGTATTATGGCATCTGCGGTAAAAAAACAGACCGATTGTCTGATGGTAAGCAAATAACGCCGCCCATAAGACACCAGAGCTAAAAGTATGTTGTCAGGTATTCAGGTGAACAGGGTGGCAAACGAGCAGGCGGATTACCTGATGGTAAGCAATTCTCACCGTCCATGGGCACTCGCAACGCCAGACAGCATCCGTTGACGCCTTTTGGGGTTTAAAGATTTGAGATTTGATCATCAGCCTATGACTGCCCACTGATGAGTAATGGTCTCTCAAACGGTGAAGGTTAGAGTATTAATCACCACCCTTGGCTGATTGGCGAATCTAAGTTGTAATTATTTACGGTTTAAATACATATAATAGTCAAGGCTTGTATTTTTGTATTTGTTTGTTCGTTTCACCAACTCATACGCCCTTATTACAGAACATGATTTTCTTTAGTCTAGCACCCGGTTTCCGAAAGACCGATCAATTTTAAAATCAATTTAATCTCTTGTCAAGTCATCTGATTGGTTGACTGAATTATCAACAACCAATCAGATGACTTGACTAGAGATTTGACACCTAGCTAGTTGATTTTAACATTGATCGGGCTTTCGGAAACCGGGCGAAGGTCTAAACAATACGGTAGTTTCCAACAAGTCAAATTCAATACTTTTATCCAAATGTCAAAAACGATACTCTTCTATGAAATTTGTATGAAACACTGAGTTATGACGTCATAGTTTTTTTGCGTCAAATAGCTTACCTATTTCTTAATAATTAGCTACAAAATATATTATTCTACAAAATATATTATTAGCTATAATATATAACTTTGTGTATCGATCGATCGATGAATTAAGGAATAAGTACATAGTTATTTTTCGATATTTTATTGTATTGAAACGTCGAATTAATTTATTTTTGACCTACAAAACTACCCAATTGAGCCAGTTTTTATATTTCGAATTGGAGGTACGTGAGAACAAGATTCGAAATACAAACCCGACTCAATGTTTTAAACCATAGACTATAGATAAACCTTGTTTTGTAATAAGGAGGTTACGGTTTAAGCCACCGCAGTAAACTGTAGTACGGCGAGACCCTTTTTTTTTAAAGGAATAAGATTAATGCATACATAATCATCAGCTTATAAGTACCCACTGCTGAGCAAAGGCCTCTTCTCATACGCAGAAGGTTTGAGCATTAATCAGCACGCTTGCTCAACGCAGATTGGTGACTGCAAAATTATAATTAGACATTATGAGTACAGGATGTTTTCACCATAGTCATCAGCCTGATTTCGTCCACTGCTGGACATAGGCCTCCCCAATAGCACGCCACTGAGCTCGATGTTCAGCTCGTACAACCACTGCCAGCCAAAGCGGATATTGTCAACCTAACTAGCTGGAAGGCGCTGTTATATATAAAATGACATTAACAAGAATCTTTATTAATAACTAGCTCTTACCCGCGGCGTCGCTCCCGTCATTTGACTACCTACCCTACTCTACCTACCCTACTCTACATACCCTACTCTACTCTACCTACCCTACTCTACCTAACCTACTCTACCTACCCTACTCTACCTACCCTACTCTACCTACCCTACTCTACCTACCCTACTCTACCTACCTTACTCTACCTACCCTACTCTACCTAACCTGTTCTACCTACCCCACTCTACCTAACCTACTCTACCTAACGCGCTCAAAACCTTATAATATATTATGAATAACAAAACATGAAAAAATATCGAGTCGTCGTAGTCGCGTACAATAGGTTTCTTTTGTAAACCTTTTTTATTAATTAAAAGTTTTCTATTTCTATTACATTCTTCTTTTTTTAAAGCCTACTATGCTCACCCTGACCATAACAGCGCCCTACACTACGTTTGCCTAGACTTGGTCTCCACTCTAGAACACGTTTACCCCAGCGGTCATCAGTTCTTCGACAGATGTGACCTGCCCACTGCCAATTCAGTTTGCTAATTCTTTGGGCTATGTCGGCAAGTTTTTTCCTTTACCATGTCGGTGGTAGAATAAGACTATCTAATACTAGCTACTCACGCGCGTTTTCACCTGCTGCTCGGCTCCATTTGATTGTAGTGTGATGTTTTATAGCCTATAGCACTCGGGCACATTGTAGCTATCCACGAGTGAAAGAATTTTGGGAATCCGACCAGTAGTTCCAAAGATTACCCCCTACATACAAACTTATACTAATGTTATAACGAGGTAAAATTTGTAATTTTGTAAGCTACAATGTTCCTGAGTGTTATAGGCTATAAAATATTACGCTACGATTAAATGGAGCCGAGCAGCGGGTGAAACCGCGCGAGAGTAGGTAGTTTTAAGATATAAGTAATTGTTGACCGATTTGAATTTCGTATAATTTTTTTTAATAGTGATCCAAGAAGCTTGGATCGTTTTTGCAAAATTTAAGTAAAGTCATAGAACATCTATGACTGTTTTTACTTAGTATCACATATATTATGAAAAAAGTTCAACATGTCAATCAACATGTTTTGAATAAGGTGTTTTTAACCCCCGACGCAAAAACGACGGGGTGTTATAAGTTTGACGTGTCTGTGTGTGTGTGTGTGTGTGTCTGTCTGTCTGTCTGTCTGTCTGTCTGTACCACTCTAGCCGCCGAACGGATGGACCGATTTTGATTTAGTTTTTTTTGTTTGACAGTAGAAAATGTCGAGAGTGTTTTTACGTAAGTTTGATGAAAATTGTTCCAAGATGGCCGCCGCCACAAAATGACATTAGATATTTTTTTTAAACTCCATCAATATGGGTATCAAATGAAAGGGCTTGACTAGTAGAATACTATTAGGTATGAAACATTTAAAATCCAAGATGGCTGCCTCTACAAGATGGCGCTTTATGGATATATTGATATCATTTGATATCCATATCCATATCCATCCATTTTCATAGGAATTATAATTGTTTATGGATATCTCGTTCCGTTCATTACATTTGGTTTTTATAAAGTCGGGGGTTTTTTTTAATTTTTAATTTAATTTTATTACTAAAAGAAAGAATAGACCTTAAAGATTAATTTGGCATATACACCTCATTTTCGACCAAACTGTGGGTTGGTTATTTTTTTGCGTAAATAGTTCAAATTAAGATTAAGAATATTAATGATACATTCTAATAAATAAACAACCGATACTCTTTTACTTATGGATACCGCGCAATCATCATTATCAATCGTGTTGCAGACTGCAGTCTAAATCTATACTAATATTATAAAGAGGTAAAATTTGTAAGTTTGTATGTAAGGGGTAATCTTTGGAACCACTGGTCGGAATGCGAAAATTCTTTCACTGATAGATAGCTATAAAATGTTCCTGAGTGATATCTATACTAATATTATAAAGAGGTATAATTTTTAAGTTTGTAAGTTTGTATGTATGGGGTAATCTTTGGAACTACTGGTCGGAATGCGAAAATTCTTTCAAATGGAGCCGAGCAGCGGGTGTAACAGCGCGAGAGCAGCTAGTAAATTGGGGGACAATCCCCCACCTTCCTGTTTTGGCCGCAATGCTCGTAGGTAATTGCGACATTTTTTTTAAACGTTTTTCTCTCACTGAAGTATGAGAACATATTTTTTTATGTGATTGGACGGCAAACGAGCTTACCTGATGGTAAGCTATCGGCGCCCCCCATTGGGGAGGTGCGGGCTAAGCCGCTGGATAGAGCTAGCTATACCTAATTAAATCTTGATTAGGTATACTTTTAAACTTTCGTGATTCATGTTAAGATTATATATAAGCGCGTGCATTATATAAAATAATTATTTACGTAGTAAAATAATTATTTTTCGCGTTAATACACGCGTAATTATATTATGTTAACTTGGTTATACTTCTCAACTCAGCATATGTGGTTTATTTAAAAATCAATCATCATCATCATCAGCCTATAAGTGCCCACTGCTGAGCAAAGGCCTCTTCTCACAAGGAGAAGGTTTGAGCATTTATCGCCACGCTTGCTCAATGCGGGTTGGCGATTTCAAACTTACAATTAGAAATTATAAGTCCAGGTTTCCTCACGATGTTTACCTTCACCGTATGTCAGTGGTGTCTAAATAATCATAGAAAGTACATATAACTCGGAAAAAGTCACATTGGTACTTGCCAGGTTTCGAACCCACACCCTCATGCATGAGAAGCGGGCTCCTTAACCTCCAGGCCACCACGACCAATAAAAATCAATGAAACAATGAATTTATTTTTGCAAATAGGCCATAAAACGGCACTTTTACACGTCAAATTATATGTGAAAAACTAGATGAAGCCGGCATTTCCTATCTGACTACTCTGAGAAGAAATGCCGAAACAAACTCAGAGGTCAGTCTCTTTTCAAGTCCAGACAATATAAAATACCATAATGTGAGAGAACCGTGCAAGTTCATTCTGTAGTGGTCTTTTGAGGAAAGAACCACACCAGTTTAAGTGGACCCGTTCTGAAGACAGGCACGCAAGTGTCAGTTTGCAACCAGTATAGCTAGTGCTGTTGAGTTGTCCGACGAACAATACCGATCAAAAGAACATTTGGGTGGGTCGCGCAAGTACTCAAACTGTCAGAACGCAGATGACTGGTGATCAAAAAGCACGACAAGTCTCACACGGTCCTTACACTAACAATAATATAAAATAATAAAAATGTCAAAAAATAAATA